AGTCAAGAGTTTAAATTGAACAGGAATTCAGGGAAATTACTTAAACTTATAAACCATAAATTGGATTACATTTTAACCTACCTTCACCAATATGGTAGGTTTTGATATTTACTTAAGTTTGCCAAGAAAATGCTAGAAGACATTAAGTTTTGTTTTGGAAGAAATCGTATCAGGTAGTGATGAACACGATCATGTTCATCAAATGTTCATCAAATCTCAATCGTTCAAATTTAGTATGACCAGCCGATATTTAATTTCTTAATTTTTTTAAATATTTTTTTAGTAGATAGATAATTTTTAAATATTTTTTTAGTAGATAGATAATTCAAAATAAATGTAATATTTTAAATGTAAATTTTTTTAAAAAATATGATTCTTTTTAATTTAAATTTAGTTAAAAATTTTAAATCTAAAATACTAAAACTGTATGCCAGTGATGTATCAGTATCATGGTGCTTGAAACTGCTTCCATCAAAGTATTGACAAAATTAATACTTTAAGAACTAAGCATCGAGTTAAAGTTCAATCAACAATTAAATTAAAGCTATAGCAACAAAAAGATTAATTTTTATTTTAAAAAAGAAGAATTATGTAATTTTAGCAAAAGTAGAAGGAAACCCTCATGTTTCACTCTGAAAAAAAAAATCCAAGGGCACTTCAAAACCTTGAGACATGATATGAAAGAGAGCCACACCCTAAGTTACTTCTGACTTCAATATCGTTGGAGCAGGTCTCTTCTTCTTTTTCTCGGTTGCTCTCTGTATTCAGGAACACAACAAGAATTTGCTGCAAAAGTTAAAACACAAATTGAACTTAGTAAATAAGGAGCAATTAAACCCAAGATAGACTTTGGCATAAATTTATATTTTCAAACTTACAGTAGCCGATGTGAAACTTGGCGATTTCAAGATATATATGCCTCAGAACTCCCAGCAATAATCAGCTTTGTTCCAACACAGATCAAGCATGAGACCACCTTTTTAAGGGATTTTGAATAACTTTAAGAAAGAGATGCTTCACAAAAATCGAAGACAACTAGAAAATCTGAAAGTTTTCGAAGGAAGATGCTGAACTTGTGAAATGAAACAGAAAAAACAACATCAACTAAACAAGAAAAATACAAGAAAGAAGTCGAACTCACAGGAAATGAGATCACGGGGATAAGCCGTGACAAATTGAAAAAGCGGTGTTTTTTAAACTATTTTTGGGATTTTTTCTTCTTGAAGAGATATCATAAAACAGTTGAAAATGATCACAACAACAGAGAAGTGCCAGCAAAAAATGCAAAAGGAGCAAATTAAGGATTTTTTTTTTTTAATTTTCTTAAATATGGGTGAGACGAAAAGAAAGCAGAAATCAGGAAATACAAGCAACACAAAGTGCCGAGAAGACGTTAAAGATCAAGAGTTGAGAAATTGAGAATTAATTAAGAGCTAGCACGGAGTGATGTGAACAGTGAAACTACGAAAGAGGACTTAAGATCCAGCGAAAGTTGCAAAAGTTCAGGAGTTTTTTTTGGGGGGGGTGTTCTGAGAAGGGAGAAAGGAAAAAGGAAATCAAAAGGTGGAAATAATAACACAAAGGAAATTTCAGAAATGAAGTAAAAGAAGAAGCTGAGTGAGTAATGAAATGCGGAAGGGAGAGAGTTGGAGATCTGTGAAACCAAGGAAGAAGGAGCAGATCTGAGGCTTTGCGAGGAGTAGTTGCAGAGTCTCCGGAGGTTTGGTTCAGAAACTGTGTGGTTCAGGCTACTACGGTACTCCTCTAGTCCTATATTTATAAGGCAGAAAGAAAAGATTTTTCTTGATTCTATTTATAAATCATTTTATTAAATTTTTATTATGAATGTACTATATTGTTTTTCATTTATTATAATGTAGATAGTTATTTTTTTAAAAGTTACATATATTAAATATGGGTAAAGTTGAAAAGTTATTATATTTTAATGAAGAGATAATACAATTTAAGGTTTTTTTTTGTCCGTATAAAATATATTGGAAGTGCCTATTTATACCAGAGAAGTAAGTCACAAGAGCGAGAGTTTCTATTGCGTGTGATGTAAGGACAAGGGAGAAATTGCGGGCTTTGAGTGAGAACAAACTGAGGATGTCACTTTTTTTTTAATTTCAATTATTTTTATTTTTATCTTATTTCTTTCCCTTTCTTTCTTTTGCATTTCAAACATGCCATGGGCAGGATTCCGATTTTTCCATTCCCTCCCCTTCCATTAATATAGGTTCTATGTACCAAACAGGCACTTACCACCTACCGAAATAAAAACATCAGTGACTTTAAAACCCATTTTTAAAAAATAATAATTCTCCAATCCTTAGCATAAGACTTAATTATTAAATTGATTTTGGTTCTAAATATAAAATTTATTTTCATATTTATTAATTTTTTCTAAATTACTTCTATAGATACTCTCTCAACCATAATTAAGTAAAAGACAGAAAAAGAGAATATTAAGGAAGATGATTATGGTGTTTACGAAAAACATGTTATATTTCTTATAATTAACTAACTTATCTAACTTTTTTAATCTAATCAAATTAGTTAAATATGTCTTATATTAAGAACCGGAGGAGTAATTTTTTTATTTAACCCACCCGAAATTAAAATAATAGTAATGATACCATGAAACCAAAATCCAGCATCAGCATGAAATGTAGAGGTGTTTAAGGCCGGCCCATCCCGGTCGGCCCGTTCCGTTCCTGGTCTTATTGAGACGGGACGGATTCGTCCCGAAATTTTCGGGACGGGACAAAAAAGGGACCAGGATGGGACGGGACATGGGACGGGGTCATCCCGTCCCGGTTCCCTTTTTTTTTAATTTTTTATCCTATTTATATAATATCATTTTTTCATATTTTTTTAAGATTTGAAACTATTGTATGGAACTATAGATATATTTATTTAGAGTTTTTATATTTGTTAATGATTTGAGATTATTGATGATTAGAATTTTTAGCAAGTTTTTATTGTGTTAAAAGCTTTTGTTTAGAGTTTTTAATGACTATTATATGTAATATTTTGAGCTTTTGTTTAAGAGTGCCCAAACAAATAAAAAAGAAAATAAAAAGATGTTTTTATAAGATTTAAGCTCAAAAAAATATAATTAAAAAAATTTCGAGACGTCCTGACCGGGACCGGGACAAACCCGGGACAGAAAATCTATCCCGTTACTGTTCATCGCTAAGGTGAAAAAGTAAAACAATTTGATGGCCAATGAAAGAGTAGAGAAGCCAGTGGGTTTGAACAATGGAACAAAAAAAAAAATTTATAAGAAAATATGATGACCTTTAACGACTAAAGACTTAACTAATTTCCCTTACTGGAGATGATGATATATATTCAAATGAAATTTGCCATTGCAATTCATCATAAAATAAACAAAATATCCCTCCGGTCCTAAATGTAAACCCCATTTTATAATGTAATTTACATATGAGACCTATTTTGTAACGTAATTTACACTACAAAATGAGTCTTATATTTAAGACAGGAGGAATACATAATATAAAATCGTATGGTACTGTTTATGGATAAACAATATTGAAACTCGAACTATAGTGCTTAAGAGGATACATAACAATACAATCTAACAGAAAATAGCAACACTCACGGCAACATTTACTCACTCATTTATTTCCAGAAATTTTATCTCCAACACAGACACTCCATTTTTTACCAGAAAAGGAAGATTCTTAGAACCTCTCGCAAGATGTTTTAGAATGATTCATCCCTGCACGCAATGTTTAGTGAGAAAACAATTAACTAGGAAAGGCTCTTGGTAAAAAAGATTATTGCAGCAGATGAACACGAGTAATTTATCCTTTTATTTTTCTTTTCATATTCTATAAATTAAAAATTTTATCAAGAGATTATAAATTTTCTCGCAGTTCTATAGAAGTCTATAAACAAGACAGGCAGGTGAGTGAACACTATCAAAATTTTCTTATATGCTATTTGTGCTTTTTTTATGAAATATGCTTTGCGTGGTTTAATTAAAAATTCTACAAATTTTGAAACACTGAAATTTAAGATACAAGAATCTATATGAAATTTGGGGAAAATAACTTATTAACAAATATAATAATCACATGATAAATATTCATTTGCGTGCATTACTTGGGTCAATCAAAAAGCAACAGCATTTGCATGGAAGTGAGAATAATTTTTACTCTACCCCTATGTTTGGTGTGAGGGGAATGGAGGAGAAGAGAGGGAAGAAAAAAATTTAGTGAAGTTGATTTAAAAAATAAGAAAAGTCGGGTTTTAAAATTTTAATAAAAATAAGATATAAGAGAAAAAAGTAATAAAATTAATTAAAAACTTTTCATTGTATTTCTTCAATATTTTAAAGGGAAAAATATACTCAGGTCTTACAGAAGACAATTAATTTTAAAAAAGTCCCTGAAAATCCTGAAATGATTCCTAAGTTCCGAGGGACTTGTGTGTAATTAATTATAATTGTGAAATTACCTATTTACCCCATTAATTTGAACTTAATGTAATTCATTTACAACCTCAACGGTAGTTGTTGACAACCCGAGAAGAGATGGTTAACAACCTCGGCAATGCCTCTGGCATCCCACAGAGTGAGTTGTCAGAGCACTGGCGAGGTTGTCAACCACTTCTTCTTGGGTTGTCAACAGCCACTGTCAAGATTGTAAATGAATTGCTACAATAAAATCAATGGGATAAATAAGTAATTTTACAATTACAATTAATTACACACAACTCCCTGAGGACTTCAGAATCATTTCGGAATTTTCAAAGATTTTTTTGAAATTAATTATCTTCTGTGGAACCTGTGTACTTTTTCTTTTTTTAAAATCAGCCTATTAAAATTTTCTCTCTCCTCCCCTCTCATCTGTTGTCGTCGTACCAAACTAACCCTAAAGCTTAACCAAATGAAATTACTTGGAAAAAATAGTTACCTTTCTCCAGATTTTGAAAGAAGATGCGAAATAACTTCGTCTTCCAATGCGTATTGATCAATTCCTTTCAAATTTTGATGAAAGGAGAAGCCTGGTAGCTTCATCTTCCCATTGCAATTGAGCCAACCACTCATGCTCTCCTTTAAAGCTTTGTAGATTCTTCAATACACTTTGAGAATTAAATGGGAGCTTCTTCAAATTGGGCCACTCTTGTACTCGAATCTCCTTCAAAGAAGGAAACTGTAATGCCATTGTACAAATGCTCTGTAAGTCACTCAGAGATCCCAGGTGAAGATTAGTGAGACTGGAAAAAAGATTATTCTCAGCGCCAATAGTCCCAAAGTCTGCACTTATAACTTCCTTCAATGAATGGCAACGACTTAATTCAAGGACTTCAAGGTCACAAGCATATATAAGCCAATTCAAGTCAAGTATATTTTGACACTCGAAGATAATCAACTGGCGAAGGCTGATTTTATATTCATTTCCCCGAAATGGGCTCCTTGGAATATTCACAGCTTCAAAATTCTCTGGTTTCACGACACCCATAACTTTTAATGTTTCAAGATGCGTCATTTCTCCAAGTGATGAGGACAAGTCAGGGAGTAATGAGTTTGCTTTAATGAATAGCTCACACATGCACATCTGCAACTTTGGGGACCTCAGTATGTTTTTAACAGAGGATATGCTAGAGACAGAAATGCGTATATAATGAAGATCATTTAAGCCTTCTAGCTCATGCAACAATACATTTTCACCTTCCCCCTCACGCAACCATACATTTTCATCAATCATTATCACGCGAACTTTCCAGCCTCTCATACTGAAGGCTTGAAGAGATAACAAACTGGATATAACTTCCTGTGGTAATTTAAGCTCTGCAAGTCCGTCCAGCAACAAGAACCTTAGCTTCTTCAAATTCTTGAACTCCTCTGGCAATTTTGATATATTAGTATGGGATAGGTTCATGTGTTCTAGATTTACGAAGTCCCCAATTGCTGATGGTAGATTTCTTATTCCATCATTAAACGACAAGTCCAGTACTCTAATGGTATTTGGGAGGACAAGTACCTCTGTTGGAAAGACCTCTATACTAGTATTCCTAATAAGAAGAGTGATGAGATTAGGACAATGAGGTGTTTGTAGGGGGTTTAGAATCATATGACCATTGCTCCACAAAGAGAGCTTTTCTACCTGTTTTAACTTTGTATGACTAAATCCTCCCAGGCCAGTAGTTCCATAACCGTCTTTTACAATGAATCTTGCCTGCTCCTCACATGCTATCCAAAGGGCCATATCTCTAATGACATCATGCATTTTAATTGTGTTTTCTTTGTCACCGTTTTCCAATAAGCAAGCATAACTCAATCCTGAAATTATATCTTCTCCATGCTTATGTGCCTCGTGTGTATAATCAAATTCAACCAAATAACCTTCCGCTGTCCAGAGGAAAACAAGGTCTTCCTTTTCAATGTTATAGTCCTCAGGAAATAGAGCACAATACAAAAGACATAATTTGTAGGTATCATTTGGCAATCTATCATAACTAAATTTAAGCAAGCAGTAGACATCTTCAACCATAACTTGGATTTTTGAGGGATAACTCCTCAAAATTTCTATAGCACGCTTCCATTCAGCTGGAGACACCTTATTAACCATGACTCGACCAATAATGCGAAGAGCAAGTGGCAACCCTTGACACTCATCCACCACTAGTTTTGCGAGATCAGAGATATAAGGGTTTTCAAGAATTGTTGTGCCCACGGTCTTCTTGAACAACTCAAATGCTCTATCTGGCGGAAGGCAATTTACTTTTATATGTCTCTGTGCACCCATTAGGCCACATATTTCTTTGGACCGAGTTGTGAATATTATCTTGCATTCACAATTATTAGGGGAAGGAACCCCCAATTTCCACAAGTCAATTCTTTCCCACACATCATCTAATAACAATACAAATTTCTTCTTATTCAAGATGTTGAGTAACAAAGAGGGTCTCTCATCCATTGTCGCATTATTCCAACTATCATCTTCCACACGCAATTTCCTTCTAATGGCATCTTGAATTCTTCCTGGATATACATCTTTAGACGCCACAACCCAGATGACTACATAGTCTGCTCTTGTTGAGAGGAAATCATTGTTGAATTTCTTAAGTAGAGTTGTTTTGCCCACCGCTCCCATTCCATGCAAGCCAATGACACCTACCTGGTTGTTCTCAAAGCATGTACGTAGCTCCTCAAATGTTGATTCCACACCCACAGCCTCGTCCACCGGAAGTTCAACGAACTGATCACCAGCACACTTTTCTGCTACATGATCAAAATTCCCTCTGTTTAGAAGACGGTTAACGTCATTCAACTTCCGAGTGACCATTTTGTGTAGCTTGTATCTAGCTCGACAATTCTTGGGACAACCAAAACACTTAGCTTGTTTTTCTTGATCACCTCGTTGTAGAATATCCTGAACTTCTTTTTGTAGATTTTCAACTCCGTCCATCCAAACCCGTACCTCATTCAAAACCATCAACTTTGGATCTGGATTCTTCTCTGCCGTTTCGACCTTCCTCTTGACATCAAGATATCTGCCATTGAGTATCTCTGAAGCACTTCTCAAAGGGTTGAGGTTGTCTCCCAGCCGGCGTATTGAATCTGTCCATTTGCTGCAGCAACCGAACAAACGATCTAGAATGCCAATGACTGGAGTAATAATATCAGCCATGGTTTGGCTTGGGTGCACCAAAGATGTGAGGATCAAACGTGAGAAGGAGAAGATAGAAATACAGTGAACAGCGAGTGGCTATGTTTGACTCTCAGTTGGCGCGAGCTTTTTTGACAATTATTAAAGTGGATGAACCAGCCTGTATTGAAAAATTACGGTAAAATTTTTTGAAGAGTTTCACCATCAACGGTGTAAAACAGCGTTCCTTATTTTCTTCTAATTTTATTTAATCTGATGGGTAGCCTTCCCGGTAAGAGGAAATAGTATTTCTATACACTAATATTTAATTGAGTGAAAACCACTTCTTGGAATTGCTTTTATATAAAATCCGTAAAGAATTTGGGAAATTTAAAAAAAATGATAGCTAAATTTTTAAAAACTCTAACAGGTTACTTGAAGTTAAGAAATTTCAAATTTCTTATAATCATTAAATTAAAATCTTAAAATGTTGGTGAATTCACACTCTTTAATTTTTTTTAACAGCTCACAATTGTAGATTATTATTAAATTAATGGACGTAACTAATTTTTTAAATGCTTGTTTAGAGCCACTTATTTTATGTTTACGTAAGTCCAGACAAAAATTTTTTACATAAGTTTGAAATTTAAATTGTCTTAATCTTTCTTATAAAATCATAGTTGGGGTTATCTAAACGTTTTTATTATTGTTATCTCTAATTAATTTTAGACATTACATTAATTAAAAGATTGGCAACTTGAGATACTATAATTTTTTTTATTATTACTTTATTTTTCTTTGTTATTTACCCATTATAAATAGGTGTATTTAAAAAATTTTATTTTTTTACACATTTATTATTTTTAATTAATTTCAACAGTTTCTCCAAATTGCATAACTTCAGCTGCAGGGTTTTTTGTACCGCATGGAAGTCTTTTTCAAACAATAAGGTCACTGTAGCAAAGATTTAAAAAAGCAGAAGGCGAGAAAACAGCCAACCTGCCTATCCTTATCCTACTTCATCAACCCCCACCTCTTGAAGGAAAGGTGGCTGTGATCAAATGGGCAAAAAATTTTCTGATCTCTACGGGCGGATTTCGCTAACAGTCTCCAATGGTTATTCTAGAGGAAAAAAAATTGCATAATTTCCAAATTACCAGAATTTGATTATCACTTTTATTAAAAAAACAGTACTTTGAAAGGTCGTGCGTGGCAGGGTTGGGAGGCAATAAAGCTGCAGCCTTTATGGCAGCGCGTGCAGTAAGGCGGCGCTTGGGAGTGGCTGAGCTGACTTCTCCTCCATCCTCTTTTTGCTGTTTTGGCTCGTGACTCTGCCGAAAAGAAAGGAATCCAAGAAAGAGGCTTACATCATTAAAGGCATTGACAGCATTTTTACGGGGTTTCACTATTTTATTAATATCATTTACAACAAATTTTATAACAATTTCAACAGTTAAAAAATATGAAATTTACCATCTTGTGAATGGTGATAACTAGGTTATCAATTTTTTTAATGCATTTATGAAGCTTGGAAAAAGCATAATTTATCATAAATTGTATATTTCACATTGATTAATTATTTTGAATGGTGATAATTTGATCAAATCTAATTTTTTTAGTTGTGAGAATTTGATTATATTTTACATATTAATTATTTACTTTTATTTTTTTAAGTGTTGAAACTGTAAAAAAATTATTGTAAATGACATTATTGAAAAAACGAAACTCGCTAAAAGTATTATTAATGTCATTAATAGTGTTGATTAAAGTTATGATCGAAATAGTAAGGGTCAAAAACGTTTTTTCATCAGATTTAAAAAATTATATCTATTTCACATGAAAATATTTTTATTGAGATAAATGTTGTTAAAAAGTTGATTGAATGAACATTGATACTTGTTGATCAATCCGCCTGACTCAACAATGACACAGAGTAAGCATATGGCAAAACCAAAGACTCAACACTGTGTTGGTTGTTCAAATAACTTCAAGTGATTTGATCTATTATAATAAGGGTGTTTGAATAGAAATAAAATATTTATCAAAATAAATATATAAAAAAATTTATTTTGATTTGTAAAAAAAAATATCTCTCAAAAGTACTTTTTGGTTTTCCAAACACCAAAACCTAGAATCTATTTTGCCTTGTACGCTAGAAAATCGACCTTTGCTGAAAATTGGGTCTCAGGAAAATGTTAAAATCAAAGGTGTCATCCAGGCAAAATCAACATTTTATTTCTTTGTTACAAAATTTTTAGCGTACCAAACTCAAATGGTTACGGCCGAGAAAATGGTAAAAATAAAGTAGTTTGTGAATCATGAAAGAGGAGAGGAGTTCGCATAACATGCTCAGCGCATCAGTGAGCACTTAAAACTCATCCCTCAAAACGATATTGTTTGAATTTAAGTGACCCAATATCAATCTGAACAATTTTTCTTTCTCTGCCCCCCTCTCCTTCTCTATTTGCCCCTCCTTTGCATCAAGTGTTGAAAATAAAACACATTTGTATGCCATTCCCACCATTGCTTCTTGTAACGGAAGATGAAGAGCTTTGAACGTGATTCCAAGGATATTCAGGTCTGAAAATATGCTCAAATTAAACCACGTGGTTTTCAGAGATGAGTTCCAGGTATTGATAGGTCCTCATGGGTGCGGGTTTGGGGTTGCTTTTATTTTGTCAGTGTCCTTAGTGGCAGCCTGACAGGAGAGACATGTGAGACTCTGAGAGTAGTCAGAGACTCAGAAGAAAAAGCAAGGCATCCCACGAGCAAAAAGGTTACTCAAAGTCAAAGCGATTCATGTGTTATTTGTGTGCGAATTAAATCGATTTTAAAATTAATGTGTAAAAAAAGTTTTGTTTCTATTTGTATAAAAACAGTTTTAAAAAATATTTTTTGTGATTTCTAAACGCCTTCTTAATTTTATTCTTTCATTTAGAATTTCTTTGGAACAAATAAAAATTGAGGACAGACAAAAAAATTTAAAAAATTTGATTTAGGAAATTAAAAAATTAAAGTTAAAACTTTTTAATTAAATTTTATTACTCTTTTATTTTGCTTTTTTTAATATAAATTTTAATTAATTTTCCTCTAAGCTAAGAAAAGACATCGTGTTGCTCAGCTTGGATTCCAGCTACTTATATACTCAGATCCATCTCGTTGTTTATTTTTCAATTCAGCACCCTCACCTCATACATTAGGTAATTCCTCGTTTGTGAAGTACCAAGCGAGGAAGGCAATTTTTGCAGAGATGAAATTGAGAAATACTGAGAATTTTGATTACTGAGAATTCATCCCGTGAATCTTGCTCCTAATTCAGTCAAAAAGAGAGCATGTTGATTACTGAGAATTCATCCTGTGAATCTTGCTCCTAAGTCAGTCAATAGCTCCCCCCTCCCAAAAAAAAAAAAAGCATCCAACTTCATACCTTGGATTGTCAGGCGGGGGGTCTAAGTCACGGTTCACACTTCACCAGATGCTGCCATCACATGATTTTAACAGAAGGATCAACGCCTCTCTATTAGAAATAAATTTGAGGAAAATTGGCAATCATAGCAGTTCTATCACTTAACAGTGACAATAAAAATTTATATAATTCTCGCTTCCATTATTTAACACGGGTACTTCTTCAAGAATTCATATCTACCACTTCCATTTTTAAACATAAGGACAGTTTGGTCTTCATACATTACTTAATTTCACAAACAAGGCCTTTTCCCTTCATAATGATTTTACACATTCGAGATCTTTCAGGGCTAAAAATTTTGTTAATTTGGTCCTTAAACATAACTTTCTCTGTAATCAATGGGTCAGCAAAACTTTTCAACTTTTAACATCAGCGGCGTGAACACTTCGTATGTGATAACAACTTAATTTTGGCATATGGGTACTTTAATAAAGAGCCCAGGATCATACGTGTTAAATAAAATAGCAGACGTGTTAAGGGAACATTGCATAATTACCGTTCCGAGTTGGGGGAAAAAGTAATTTTTGATTGCTGATTAATTATAGGAAAATCCTCGGAGAATGTACATGCTATTTCTTGTTATGTAAAAATATGTCATTTTCTAGTAAAAACATGTCATTTTCAAATAAATTATGGTCATTTTTAATTAATGTACATGCTACTTCTCGTTATGTATTAGGAAAAGATACATTGTTAATCTCAAGTTTATAATCGTCATTTTTCAGTAAAGACGTGTCATTTTCAAATAAATTATAGTTATTTTTAATTAATGTACATGCTACTTTTTGTTATGTATCAGGAAAAGACACATTGTTAATCTCACGTTTAGACTGGTCATTTTCTAGTAAAGACGTGTTATTTTCAAATAAATTGTCATTTTTAATTAATGTATATGCTACTTCTTGTTATGTATCAAAAATAATTGTTTTGTTAATATCAAATTTAGGCTTGTTATTTTTCAATTAAGATTTGTTATCCTCAAGTAAATTGTTGTCACGGACTCGACACTAAACCGGTTAAAATAGCAGTTCAAGGGTCAGTGGGCCAAACGGGTCAACTCATAATCAAATTAGCCATATTAAAATAATATAATTTAAATGAAAATAACAAAATATAACAACATTAATAATCATTAATAACAAAATACAAGGAAATACAATAATAGTTTGATTGTAACATAACAAAGTATAATAATATTGAAAAATTTTAACATTTACAATTCGTCAATAACTAAAATTAATAATTGTTAATACCAAAGTTATCATTTAAATTCATTGGAATCTATAATGACTAAGATATTATAAGCTGAATGAGAAAAAATAAAATCAATAGCAATACAATCATCTAAACTGATTCATCACTGGTTTACACCGGTTTTTACAGATTCATCACTTTTTGACTGAGTTGACACTTTTTCGATTTCTGGCCAGTTTAACACTCAAACCAAACCGGACCACTGCCGCCCGGATCAATCCATTTTTTTCTGGAAAAAAACACACAGGTACCTAATTGGAAAAAAAAAGTATAGGTACCTCCAAAATGGTTTTCCCATAATAGTTTTATAAAGTAATAAATC